GTTCACGGGATACAGCTATTTGAAAGTTTTATGTTTTGGACCGATTAAACGGCGAATAGGTGAAACGCGTCGTATAAATAAGAAACAGAGTGCGAGAAAAATGAGATCCAGGGCCTTTTCACTTCTGTTGGAGGAACCCCATCCCGGTTAGCCATGTCTTCAGGTGTGTAGTCGAATTCATGACGCTTGGGCTATTGCGTATTGATGAGGCCCATTTGAATTCAAGGGTATCCGTCTTCTAGACCTGTTGTCACGCAAGGTTATACTACAGTATCCTAATATTTTACTCATAGATGTCGAGAGAAGAGATGGATTCATACATTTCCTAAGTAAGTAAATGTAACAAACTCAACTGGATTTCGAACTCGGCTATCCATTATTTCCATAAGAAAATGAAAACTATATATATATTTATATATATATATATATATATATATATATATATATATATATATATATATATATATATATATTTACATTATTAGGACTTTGTCGCCATATTTATCACAACGTTTCGGCCGTTGTTCACGGAATACAGCTATTTGAAAGGTGGTTGGACTGTTCTAGTTCCTTAATACAAGCCATTAATTTCTGCCTTTATCGATTGTGCCATGTTTCCTTGAGGACATCTGTGTATGAATTTCTGGGTATTATAAACCTAATGTCTCAGCAACCATTTGTACCATATATATATAGGGTGTAACAGCAAAATTATCCAAATCGTGTAACAGCAAAACTGTACAATTGTTCGATTAAGCTTAAGAAATGATTAAAGATATCTTACTGGAATTCTTCGAGGTTTTTATAACACTATTGGACTCTACTGTGAGCAATAAGAATGTATTTAGCTCTAAGTTAAAATGATGATCCCTCTTGCTGTTGTGACCTCCTGATCCCGTTTTCCTCTCTACTGGTATCTTTTTTTTTAAACTTATTCATGGTTATCTTGATGGTTCTTGAAGCCAGAGCATGAATATTGGTACCATTATTGAAGGCTTGAATGATCTTTTTCCTCTCACCATTGTTCGCTTGGGAGGACATAGTGGCTCTGACACAAAACAATTTTAACTTGTTCTCTTTGTAGCTGAATAACACAAAGGGTTTTTCAGGGGATTCTTACAAAATTGATGTCAAGACGTCTTATCTTAAAAGATGGAAAAAAGAAACCCAATTGGTTTAGTGTTTTTTTAAGATATTAAACATTTTTGGGGATGGCTAATCATGCTGTTACATGATTTGGACAATTTGTTTCAGTTACACTCGATATATATATATATATATATATATATATATATATATGTGTGTGTGTGTGTGTGTGTGCGTGTGTGTGTATAAAAGTGAACATTGAAGTCAACACTCAGAGGCGACAGGCTGTTTCATGCTAGACGTAATCGTCAGGCCGCGAGTGTTGGATTTTTTTTCTCGACTATTTGTATATATATGGGTCACTGGTGCATATATATATATATATATATATATATATATATATATATATATATATATATATATATATATATATATAATTGGGAAGAGCTTGTTTGTTATACATGGCCAAATTTTCAAAAGCAAACTTATTTAACACAAGGAAAAAAATTTTAATATGAATGTTTTTTCCACTTGGGGAAAGGTGGCTCTAACGCTATCTGTGTCATAATTTTTATAATGACAATTATTATTTGTAACCGCTCAGTGTAAAACTATTATTTTTCTTTTATCATTACTATTTGAGCAATAAGATATTTATGTGTTTTGAAAAAGCAATTTCATAGAACAATTTTCCCGTAAAAATATTACTATTTTTCATTGGATTTTTTTTTTTATTGGAAACTTATCAGAAACTTCTGGGTGCTACTATAGTATGTTTTCGACTGAGGCATTTGTGACCTATTGTATATGACAATGCACTCATTATTGCTGGAAAATCCCCAGGAAAAACGATAACCTGTTTACTGTTTTTTTTCTTAAATGACATCAAATCAATTTACAAACATGAGAATCACTATTTGATGATTTTTAAAAAATTTTATATAAAAAATTGTTATTGATGTTTAAATACATAACCAGTTCACTGTTCACTGCCTTTAAGCCTAAACCTAACACTTAACTCTAATATATTTCATACTTCCAATAGTTGATAAATATCATACCATAGTAGAAAATGATTAGTAGATATCATACTATAGTCGCACCAAAAATAACCTATTTTTGTGTTACTAATTACTGTTACGCAGTTACTATTGGTGTCACCGAAAATAAACCTTGTCGTGCGTGAATGATGACAATCGAGAACACTTTAAATTATACAACCTTTTAAATATATATTTCTTGGTTAAACATTTAATGTTTTACGGTGGTATTTGAAGTTAAGGGACTAATTTTTGGAACAATATGAACACTTCAACGAAGTGTTATGGTTAGTATCACAAGATTAATTACGACTGAACAATCCAAGATGCGAACTAAAAATTGGAAATGTTGCAATCAAGCAAATACGAAGATTTAAATATCTGTCAAGTGTTCAGATATGTGACACCGAAATCCGAAGTCGGATTTGAATAGCGAAAGATGCCTTCTAAAAGTCAAGCAAAGTATTAAGAAACAGGAAAATTTCGTTAGAAACAAAGTAAAGAGTACTTGACTATTATGTAATATCGGTACTCTTATATGGCAGTGAATGCTGGACAATCTTCACACGGATGAAGAAATGTTCTGCAGAGGGATGCTGAGAATGCCATCGACAGAACGCATGAACAATGGTAAAGCTTCAGAGAAAATTAAAAAAAAGGACACTTATATGTAGCATCAGAAAGAGATAGTTGAAATTTCTAATGCACATAAGAGGGACTTGGAAAATTTGACACCCACAGGCAAGAAGGAGAGGAAAACAATGCATAACTTACCAAACGAAAATTTAAATGGTTGGTGGAACAAGGTTTACGAGAGATGACAAAAAGAGAAGATTTACTAAGAGCTACAAAGGACAGGAAATTGTGGAGAGCCATGATCGCCAGCATCCGGAACAGACAAGGCACATAGAAGAAGAATAGTCGTAGGACGTAGTAGCCTTAAGTTGTAGGAATTTATCAGATGAAGCATTAACATTATTCAATAAGGTATTTTTTCAATATCTTTTGGTTATTTGCATTTTTCATTTGTAAGTGGTTGAAGTTGACTGATTTTTTTTTATATTTTCATTGTTATGTTTATGTTGTTATTGTATTAATTTTCGTTAGATCATATTTTTGTTTATTTTTTCCTGCATAGGAGTAGATAAATTCGCCTATCGTCCGGTTCAATTTCCACTCCGTTTTTTCTTCACAGGAACAGAGGTTTATCCCTTGTTTCCAATTAAGGATGACGAGCCTTGTGGAAATTGATAGCAGAATAGGAATTAAGAGATGGCAAAAAAAAAAGAAAAAAAAAGGAAACAAAAGACGAAATTTAGGAAGAGCTACAAAGGACAGGAAATTGTGGAGAGCTATGATCGCCTACGCCCTTAAAGGACACGGCACATAGAAGAAGGAGGAGGAGCTTGTGTAAATGGTTGCCAGAACAAGAATTAGGAGAGATAGCAAAATGAGAAAAAATACTCAGAGGTACAAAGGATAGGATAGGAAATTGTGAAGAGTCATGACCGCTACGTCCTGAAGGGACACGGCACATAGAAGAGGAAGAAGAAGAATGAGGAGGAGGGGCTTGTGTAAATGGTTGTCATAACAAGAATTAGGAGAGATATCAAAAAGAAAAAAAAATTACTGAGCTACAAAGGAGAGGACAGGAAATTGTGGAGAGCCATGATCGCCCATGCCCTGAGGGAACACGGCACATAGAAGAAGAAGAAGAAGAAGAAGAAGAAGAAGAAGAAGAAGAAGAAGAAGAAGGAGGAGGCGAAGGAGCTTGTGAAAATGGTTGTCAGAATAAGAATTCGGAGAGAGAGAGAGTAAAAAGAAAAAATTACTAAGAGCTACAAAGGACAGGCCAGGAAATTGTGGAGAGCCATGATCGCCCACGTCTTGAAGGGACATGGCACAAAAGAAGAAAAAACTTTGCCATCTCAGAAACATTTACATTAATTCGCAACTCACCCTGAAACCAGTCACCGTTAATAGCTAAGTATGTTCTTTGAAAATTTATCAGATTGTAAATGATCCTCCCACCATCGTAAAGAAACACAGAGAAAAGAAACGGATCGTCCGCTGCTTACAACACTGAGCAAAAGTCATAAGTGGCGACATAGAGACATTAGATAAAGATTAATACCTCATCTCAGATATATATATATATATATATATATATATATATATATATATATATATATATATATATATATAAATCGATTCTCCCGTCGGTTCGACGTATGAGGGTCAACAGATTAGTTTCAGGAAACTGACAGCCCGACACCGGCACATGAGATTCGATTATAGTGGTGAAGGTTTCGTGCAGGACCATTCACACTTTTTGAAGGGCCGAACACACACACACACCTACACACATATATATATAAAGGGAAGTGGTTATAGTAATTCCAACGATATATATATATATATATATATATATATATATATATATATATATATATAAAGGGAAGTGTTGTAATAAATAGTGACAAAGATGAGGGCAATAGTCCGAATAATGTAAATAATGTATTGTAAATGATGTTTCTAAGTTTTATTTTTCTATAAACGTTTATGCATCGTTGTCATTTGAATAGTTTATGATTAAAAATAAACTAAACTAAAATAAAAATGATTAAAAATAAACAAAACTTATTAATAGAAAATGAAAACTCTCTACTGAACATCCCCTAAATTAATATAAAATATAAAACAAACATTTAAATACCAGTTTTTAAGTACGAGTAAAACTTAAGGAATCGTAAAAATAAACAGAGAGAAAAATAAATAAATGAACAATGAAAATGCTCAGGTTACATTTTGGTCGAACAATAAAATATAATCTGATTTTTACATGATAATGCTGGTCAAAGCACTTTGTTCCCAATGCGTAGACATTGTCAGCCTTCCGCGTATGTGATTCAACAAACAAACCCAACTACATTTCCCTCCTGCTCTCTCTTTCTCCTCCTCCCCCTTGATTCCTCTTTTCTAACACCTCTTTCTCATTCTCCCTCGATTTTGCACTCTTTCTTCACCCTCTCTCTATTTTCTCTTTCTATTCCTCTTTTACTGTAGACACTCTCCCTGCTACTTTTTTGTGTTCTCTTCGTTTTTCGTTCTGTTTACCTCCCTTTCCTTTTGCTCACGCCCCTATCAACCTCTCTCTATTTGAAAGTTTTTTTCCTCTCGCTATTCCTCTACTGCAACCTTCTCTTTTGAAAAACATTATTTTTTTTTCGCTCCACACCTAAACGTTTCCTCTCTAGTTTTTTTTAGGGCATTTCTCGTCTTCTCCTACCTGATAACTAATTTCCTACTCTCGCCTCTCCACCGCCATTTTCTATTGGACTGATGACATCCAATACATCAGTTTTAACTAGATTCTTATCTGGAAGACTCACACTTCAACTTGACCTCGACGCAATCAAAAGCCGATAAGAGTTTGCATATTTTTAATTCGTGAAACTACATTAAGTTGCGATAACGGGATTCACATAGAAATGAACCATAGTAGCCCAAGCTGACCTGAACAGTCTTGTCGATTGAACGCGCCTAACAAACGTTGGTAAAACTGAGAAGAAAGAAATGGATGATCTCGATAAACTAAAAATTGGAATCACGGTTGGTCTCCTCTTTGGAATTCTTTTCGTTTGTATAATTTGCTATTTTATTTTGAACTGTATTGCTAAACGCTATAACAAGGAGAGCGAAAAGAATGGAAAAAGTCGTCGGAACAAACTTTTCACTCGTTTAAACCTCTTCAGTGGCGGAGTCTTTTTCGCCACTTCTTTTCTTCATCTTCTGCCCGAGGCGAAAGAAGAAATGAGAAAGTTTTTCGATCTAGCTACAATCACGTTTCAGTTTCCTGCATGCGAATTTATAGTCAGCCTTGGATTTTTCCTGGTTCTCTTCGCCGAACAGCTGACTTCCAGGCTACACAGGATATTTGTGGCCCGAAAAAAGACAAAGTCCTTACAGTCTAATCAGACGCCGATTTTCACAGCGGAAATTCCAACCAACGTTACCACCGAGGATAGAAATGATGAAAAGAACAAGAATAAATTCGAATACAAAGCAGATTACCAAAATGTCGAATCCTTAGCCGTGGAAAATAAAACCAACACTTCTGAATGCGAAGATCCGGACAACCAAATTTCTTCAATAGTTCTCTGTAACGACGCAACCTGCACAGAATATAAGTCTTCGGCAACTGAAACGTTTTATTCTGTCGATGCAGAACTCCCTAGCAAGAGAGCCCGCAGGGGTGAGAACATCGTGGATGACAGTTTCGATACGACAAAAAGAAATGAGAGCGTACCTTCCAATAAAACTGGTATCAGACTGGAAGCCTTCAGAACAATTAGCGAATCTAAACCCTCTATGCTAACAGTACATTCTCAGGGCTCCTCACTGAATAATTTCAAACACGAAAACAATCTGACGAATTACAATCCCGTATTTTCCACCTCAAAATTAGCTTATTGCAGCTGTAGTTTAAATCAATTTCACAAATGCATGAACGGTGATACAAACATCACTAACAAAATTTCAACGACTGCCGGGACCGAGTCTTATCTTAAAAAAGCAATTGAGCCATCTGATTCTGTTTGTACAATCAACCCATCGAAGCGTGAAGGATACCGGGCCATTATTTTATTGGTTTCACTTTTATTCCACTCCCTTTTTGATGGGCTCGCTTTGGGGCTTCAAACTAATTTCAGCAACGTCTACACAATTCTAATTGCCGTACTCTTTCACAAGACTTTGGTTGCTTTCAGCCTGACCCTTAAATTTTTCCGTGCCTTTCCTGGAAGAACACGATTCATCTTACTCTGTTTGTCTCTTTTTTCGGCAATCTCGCCTATTGGTTGTTTGATTGGTTGGCTTGTCTCCGGAAGCGATTCAATTCACATTGTCATCCGTACGGGCTGTTCAGGTATCTTACAAAGCCTGGCAGCAGGAACTTTTTTGTATGTCACTTTCATAGAGATTCTAGGACCTGAACTGGGACACGGACAACCTAGACTAATAAGTATTTCCTTTGTTTTTCTTGGATTTCTAACCATCGCGATTTTGAAATTCGTTCTGTAAGATAATTTTTCAAAGTTGTTTTTCTGTTCATATTACATGCCTGTTTTTCTTTATTCTTATGAAGAATTCGTGAGACGCGAAGTTTTTTTAATTATTTATTATTGTTATAAATTGGTGGTTCCCCAGCTACGAGCTATAGTACAATACTGTGCCTTGAGATAAAGCTATGTGAAAAAATCCCCCAAAAAACAAAGTAAGCAAAGCTAAAAAAAACAAAAAAAAAAAAACTATACAAATCTAAAAAAAAAATGTTAAACATTTTTATTCATATTGACTATTATAATGTTTCTATAGTCAGGTGACAAGAGACAATCGGATGTTGCAACTGCGAATCAAATTCATCGCACAGAAACTAAAAAGGACGCTTATCTTTAATTGATTAAATAGCAATCACAGATGATTTTTCTTTGTAATTTAAATTATTTTTATACGCTAAAATGTACGATGGAAGTTGTGAAAACTAGTTGAATGTTTAAATTTTTTATTCTTTTGTCGACGTTTCGCTCTATAAGAACATCATTAAAACAACTGAAAAACAAATCTAATTAAAAATTCGTTACCATAACAACTTTGTTACTTAGAAACGCTGTAGTTCATTTGAAAAATGTATAAATGTCTATATTTGTTTTTAAATGTATTTTTTAATTTACATCCAAAGTGCATCAAAATATTTTTGTTTTGTACAAAGTACGCCCGTGCCAAAGTTCAGGAATTACTGTTTTAGACTCTTGTGTGCCCAGAGCCAGATTCATCCTCGTAAAATTTCGATATGTATTGTTCGTATGTTAAACACAGAAACAAACAATCAAACAAACAAAAAAACTATTGAATCGTTTCGAAAGTTGGTCGTTTTTTTTTTTTTTTTTTAACAAATGAATGTCAGACTACGTAATCTAGAACAACGTCGCGGAATTTAAAATTATCGTAACTTATATTTTCAAAACTTGCCTTCTTTCAATACCTAACTAAATATTTCTTAATCCATTCAGGTGTCAATAATGGTTTCTATACATATTAATCTAACCTGGAGCATGCGTGGGCAATCTTTTTACAAGCAATGGGCCACATAAAATATGGCTCATCACAAGGCTGATCGCACTATTCAACAAATTCATATGAATTTTATAATGAAAGCGCCTCATCCATTTTTCAGTACAGAAGACCATACTTGTAATAATCTGCCTTACATATGGGGAAAAGTTGATTTTTTTTTTCTTTGGAGAAAATATTTCTTCTATAATCAATAAAGAAATTGGAGACTTTGGTATAATATTATCACAGATTACAGTGTGACTATCACTCATTGCTGCGTGTACTTTGTTTCTAATATATTTATTTGACTATGCAAGAAATATTTCTAGAAGAAAAAGAAAATTCTTTGGCAGAGAAAAATATTATGAACGTTTCTCGTTTATGAAGTAAAAGATATCTACACTTAAGAACTTCCTTAGTGAAAATCGCCAATTGTTTATAAATCATGAAAACATTATTTTTAACAAAAGGTTTTTAATCCATTAACTTCAAATTTTTTAATACGCATTTTTGGCCCAGACGGGTGTCTTAGGAGTTTATTTATTCCTTATGTTTAATTTCAGTAGTTACCATTGTTGTTTTTATAGATACTAGAACATCAAATATATATGTGTATAAAGCATCAAAAAATAATATTGATTAGAAATTATAAAAAAATACTTTTCAAAATAGTCATTATTTTTCAACTCGTGAAATATAAAATTACGACAGAAAGTGTCTTCTTACGGCTAATAATAAAAACTTTAAAGGCTAAGTGTTGTAAAATATACCTCTGCAAATGCAATGTATGTAAGCAATTCAATGTAAATACAAGGAATAACATGTAGCGAGTTTAATTTTAACAGAACCCCAAATGGCGCTCATGGCAGGTAATGGGTTAAATTCAAGAAGCATTGTATTTTATCGTTATGTATGAGAGAATGTGTGAGTCAACAACTGTGAATGAAACGAAAAAAACAAATTTAAGAAACGTTATTTTCCTCATGAAATTATTTAGAAATCCAAATGAGCCGTGAACTTCCCGCGGACTGCAGTTTACCCATCCATTGTACAAGATCAGAAGTTCTCAACCTTTTTCTATTCCTAACCCACCTTTTGATTGATGTCTCTCGCCTCCTAGCCGTTTACTTTAACAAAAGCACGTTTTACAATTTCCAGAACAAATAAACAGTGATATTTCTCCATATAAACTTAAAAAATGATTGTTTTAAAAATTAAACCAGTTACATGAAAGAAACTTCTTCCGGCAAAAAAAAAAAAAAAAAATCTGCTCATAAATGAACACAAAAATTTAAAAAGATCTGCTAAACAAAAAGTTATACAAAAGAAAAAAGTTCTGCTCATAAATTTTACATAAATGCACACAAGAAACATAAAAGACAATTGAAAATTATTTTATTACATAACTTTATTAGGACTAAAATATAAGTGACTATTGCGTGTTGGTTACTATGCGTAGGTCAGTCAATACGTAAAGAAAAGTAATTTTGTAAGTAAAATTCAAAAATATATTTTAATTACTTAGTTTATTAGAAATAAAATACAGAGGTCAACAAGGTTGTGGCCCTGTGGCTCTTTTCATTAAACTTGTGCCCCCTTCAACTGCGACATTTTCCTGTGGGGCCCCCATAAAATTTACTAGGGGCCCCATGTGGCCCACGGTTATGAACCACTGCTCTAGAGCGACATTCTCTTCTGTGAAAACATTTTTTGTTTTTAAAATGACATACCTTGAGGACAAAGTTTGATTTTTAAAAAAAAATTTTATTGTATATACCGGTGTTTACAAGCCACCTCCCGAAATCATTTCAGTATTTAAATATTTGGTCATTTCAGTGAACAAATATTAGAATATTGATTCCGGGAAGTGGGGGCGGGATGAGAACTTTTCAGCACCCCCTCGTTCGTAGTTATTATTTTACTAAGCTTATCCTAGTTTGACAAAAGCCCACAGATATGAGGCATGAAATGAGAATCGTAGTCGGTATTAATGGTCAACCAGACAAGCTCGTTAACCATTACTCCACACCGAGCGCCCAGCCCCCCGGTTGTGGTTGGTTCGAACTAATTTCTTTTTTTGTTTTGTTTTGTTATATCATAACATTTCAGTCGTACATTCTCCGGTATTCATCAGGTATCCAAAATGCGCAAGAACATTCCAGAATAGACGTCTGCGGTAGTTCGGAGAATGCACGACCAAAACGTTATGGTGAATAAACAGTACAACGAATACGAGGAAAAATAGACAAAAAGCAAACTAAATACCAGTGTTTTTATTTTCTTTCTTTTCCATTTATCAGGTTGTAATTAGTACGAGACTTATTGATTGCTCTATATTCATGGCCTTGTACCTGTCTCAAAACTTTGTAAATATCTATTTTCATTTCTTTGTGTCTCTCTTCGAACAATTTTGACATTAATTTTCTGTCTACAGTGGTCTTCCTTATCCACGGTTTCACGGCTCTGTCTTCAGATACCCGTGGTAAGCACCAAATAAATATAATTAATGGCTTTTCTTTATTTTACTTGTTTGTTTATTTTTGTTGCGCATGCGTAGTGGTACTGGCAACTTGATTATGCCAAGGCGAAAACTTTCAGTTTTTCGTTCAAGTAAAAACATCTATCTTATCCTGTTAAGGAGATTAAAAAAAAAAAAATGTAAGTAAAATTTCAAACTTCAGGCGGAGACGTTAGAAAAAAACCAATCCTAAATAGGAAACAAGGGATAAACCTCTACGCCTGTTCAAAAGACAGAGGAGAATATGGTTATTTTCTAAGCGTAGCTTAGATATGGTACAAGACCGAAAGTATGGTGTCCCCGGTGAGGATCGAACTCACTATTCGGTCGTAATAGATTTAGCGAAGACAAGCTTGTTAACCGTTACATCACATCGAAGTATCCAAAAAACAAGGAAAATATGAAGAAGTGATTTAGAATTCCATTTGGACTTTTAACTTAAAAATATATTTAGTTATTGACTAAACTTTACTGTTTTTGTACAAGATCACAAGCGTGGAGCTCCCAGTGAGGTTCGAACTCACTGCTCAAGCGTAATAATCTGTGAGGCCAGCTTGT